AAGCTATTTTAAACGGGGAGCAATTGGCAAGCAATGTTTAGATACTTTGTTTACTCATGCTTTCGGATGGCATCTACTCAAAAATGCTTTAGTCTACTTTGGAACCTTATTTGCTTAGCTAAAAATCGTATGTATATTAAGGCAAGCGCTTACTTGACGGCCTTATGCACGCAAACACCCATCAACACACCCACGTTATGGAAAATTATTGCTATTTTTATGCTTTATGTGGTCTATCAAAAGGTCCTTTTTGTTATCTTTCCGCTTTTTGTCATATGATCGAAATCCGAATCTGCCTGACTGCATAGACCTCCTCAGTCTGGTTCTTAAAGCCTCACTTGATACTATGTGGACAGAAGGATTTCCTTTGTAATGATGAGTTACTTTCGGCTTTCCATTTTTTTTATACACCTCCATATAGCCTCTCTAAAAGCACAGACATTGTGTCTGCATAACCCCCTTTAATTGAAACTTCCTATTCGATGGCATGGTAGCTTCTGTGCTCCATGTTCGATAAAACTCGGCAAAGTATTTGATAAGTGATAGGTTTGTACGACATTCGTTTCGTGTTATTTACTTTATTACTCCCTCGTCTGCATAGTGATAAAACGCCGTCTTAATTGATACCTCGCCATCATATGCTTCTACAGTAGATGTGGTCTCATCTACAATTTTAACATTTTCGAGCAATCTGTGCGTACGACTACTTCATGTGTAAGCGCCTACTAGAACTGAGAATGTAAACTCACCCTTCACCTGCCGTCTCCTTTAGTTTTAACGCGTTCACATCGGATAGAACTGCTTTTGTCGAGGCACACTTATTAATTTAATGCAAGTGAACTTCTCAGATTTTTTTGGAATGGTACTACCTTAGAAACCGCAAACTTCTTGATGAACGAAGGTCCAATTCATGTGAGATTGGACCTTTACCATTTCCCTTGCCTGTTGGGGTAACATAACGGCGGCAAAGCTTGGACTCTTATAAGGATGGTTTTGAGGTGGACTACTTATAAGAAAGTGGTCGATACTGTATCCACAAATGTCCTCTTTTGTGCTTAAAGTATTTGCTCGATGCAAAATTTATTTAGTTTCTTATCGTATGGACAACTATATCCTCAGATTTTTTAGAGTTTGACGTTTCACCAGTTCTCTTTTTAACTGTTCAATGTCATAGCAACGAGATCTGAAGCAGTACCTGCATGAGTGCCACAACTTGATGCACCCGGAGAATGTGCGTATCTTCCTCTACCAACTCCTCCGAGGTCTGGCCTTTTGTCATGCGCGTCGTATTTTGCATCGCGACCTGAAACCGCAAAATCTTCTCATCAATGACCGCGGTGACCTCAAGTTGGCCGATTTTGGACTGGCTAGAGCCAAATCTATCCCCATTAAGACGTATTCTAATGAGGTCGTTACCCTCTGGTAAGTTTTACAGCAGTTTGTGTTCATCCAAATCTTACTTTGCTTCTGTATATCAAATGGTTTAGTTGCTGTAGTAAGACCATTTATGACCAGAGGCATGCACACATTTGAGGGGTGGGGATTGCGCTCGTTTATGTATTCTCAACTGGAGATTCTCAAGGTGACAATACTTTGAGAGGATGGTCTTACCTTTTCTTATTTGTAATACAACAGTGTTATCACGTACATTAATACTCGCAAAAACCGGAACCTTTTATATTCCTAGTTTGCATCCTACGCCGCACAGAATCCTCTATCTAACTTTCAAGGTTTGCATGACTCATGCCTTGGTGTACCATGAGTTCTGAACAGAATGCGCAAAACCCCTTAAATATTTTTTTTCCAGTATTTAGAATGCTTTCGAAATGTTAAATGTCTCAAGTGTAATCTGAAAGATTCGAATTGGTCACGTTCTTTGCTTCATTGTCAATGCCGTTTTGTTCGTTCGTACTGCCACGGAGTTTGGAGAAACTCATTGATGCTCCCA